ATTGAATAGATGTACATAATTAATTACGGATTACTAATGGAGCTCGAATCAGACATTATTCTCTGTTGATTTATTTTATAGTTTAAAAGCATGATGATATCTGGTTTATCTATTTTATGGTTTTAAATGCATGTATCACTGTCTTACTTGATCACTGTGTGATTTTGGGATTTAAGATATGATTGCATTACCGGGTGCATGTTCATTGTTTATGTGATTATGTTTGATTTGGTAACGGGGACTTAAGGAAAAACAGGAAAGGGATATGATCAAATAAACAGATAAAACGATAGCCCCACTAGATATCCTGGGAGATGGTGGACGGATCGGGTTTATAAGAAACCCTACCGTGAACGTTGTCCCATACCGGACGGGGTATGGAGACTTGGTCATTTGGCGCTCATACTGGACGGGGTATGGGAATAGCTCGCTTCACCTTCATACCAGATGGGGTATTGAGGTTTAATGTTTTAGTGCTTATATCGGACGAGGTATGGGGACGACTCTGTAATTAAGATTGTTAAGGGAAAGAGTTCACGTATAGTAGAGACACCCCTATGGATCCCCATGGATACTAGTAGGCTAGTAAAACGAGAAACGGTTATGATTTAGTTTATTATTAATGAATGTGAATTTATGATATGTTCCATGTTACTGATCGTGCATGAAGTTATGATCTGTGTGATATTATTGCTTATATAGTTTGTTTTCATAAATTCCACAATGGTAAGTAAAGGGTAAATGATTTTATGATTGATAAAAGAATTTGCTAAATTTAGTGCTCCATTAGTTGTTTTGATTTTCTACCAATCTTTACTTCTGTACCGGTGATATAGTGTGATGTCTTTACTGGGTTAGTGTAGCTCATCCTTTATTTAACTATTTCAGATCAAGAGGACCTGGTTCCAGAGCCCGATCCGCAAGAAGATTGCGAGTAGATGCTATATACTTTATATTTTCCTTTACTTTTCTCATTTCTCGTGTTTCCTTCAAAGAATTCATTTTGTAATGTTTAGTACTTTTAAGTTTTTGTGTAAGGGATATTAACATTAACCTTTTATTTCGCTTCCACACTTAAATTATTATATATATTTTCTTTTGGATTTCCTGGGTCGTTACATCAAATCTTTGCTTTCCTCCGTATTGGTGTTGTTCATTATCCAAACTACTTTTGCCTTTAATAAACAACCTAAGTTGTGACTTTTTAAACTTGATTAGTTTCTTGAATATTCCAAGTTATCCATGTTTATATCATTCGGTCCTTATTGGAAAACGATTCATCTTTGAATCGAAAACTTCTTATGTAGCAGTTTAATCATCTCTACCTTCTTGAAATCTTGCAAGAAAGATAATACACCCCTAGACAAAGTTGGGTTGGGATCCTATAGACATTCCCTTTTTTTTCTCCCACAAAGGGATCATCATCAACTTTCTGATGTGATGATGAACATAGACAATAAAGAGAATACCCAATCCAAAGGAAGAAGAAAACAATCACAATAATTCAAGGACATAATGATACTTATATATCAATATAAGTGGAATAGTGAATCAAACAAGAAAATGGAAGACTTTTAAAGAACCAAATCCCAGCTAAAAATGAAAAATTTGGGTGACCATAATATGGCTAGCCCTAAACTTCCATTTATTTCTCCTTAGTTTTTTTACAATCAATTAAAATCTTCCTTATTAAAAAATTTTTAAAAAAGGAAGATCTTATCTAACATAATTAGTCAAACTCTTCTTAATTTTTATTAATTTTTCAAGTAATGCAAGATTTAATTTCTACAATTAATTTAAGAGATTTATTTCCTTGTATTGCCTATGACCTTACTTTATAAATAAGCTTTCAATTTTTAATTATAACTATTCAAGTTTCAATCAAAAAAATTTTAAAATTTATTTCAACTAGTGAGTTGTCTTCAACTTTCTTATTGAGTAAAGAGTTAGATCAACTTATCGAGGTATCCTTTGCAACATTTTTTCCTATTTCTATTCTTTTACTTTTCAATGATCTTAGTTCCTATAACTTTATTGATAACAGGTTAAGTAGAGAAGATTTTCATAGGATTTAAGTCTTTGGTGCCTTAATAAGCATTGTGTGAGTTTTGGATTACAACATTAATCTTGGGTTCCGCATCACTTTCTTTTTTCCCACGACATCAATTTTTTTTTTCTTCCACGATATTATTTTCCTCTTCTCCCACGACATCACTTTCCTCTTCTCTCGTGGGATTTTTCTCATTCTTTCCTGCGACATTAGTCTCTTTTTCCTTTGCGACATTTTTCTCTTTATTTCTCGTGACTTTTTTTTTTCTCTCTTTAATGATTTTTTTATCCTTAGTCGATCTTCTAGTGTTTTTTCATATGATAATGAG